TGTGTGTGTGTGTGTGTGTGTGTGTGTCTTGTTAGGAGGAGGTGGGGGGGTGTTTCCCAAAACCTGAGCCTCCTTTTGTCCTCCTGCCTGATGGCTTCACAGTGGGGTGACACACACACTCCAAATCTCATTAAAAAGTGAGATATGGGGGGAGGGCATATCTAATGGAACTGGAGGGTGGGGGGGGTTATAATAACTTGATGCAGTCAGCGTTGTGTTATAATATGAGCCCGATTTTTAATTGTTGCTTTTCAACATCTACAGAGGTAAACTACACAATCGTACACACACTTCCTTTGGAGCTTTATTGATTTCATGCTGTGGCCAATACTTGTCCATGTGATTTCATTAGTCACAGTGATGTGACACATCTGATAGAGAGGTCTAAGAGCGGAGTGATAATTCAAGAACGACACTATCTCCGTCTGCCCCTTTGTTCTGCTTTTACAGAGACACACACAAGAGCCGACTGTGATGAATTAACACACTACAGCCGCGTTAGATAACAACAAACCTGATAAAAACACAATTCTAATCTTAAAATCAGGCCTTTTATCATCTCATGTTAAACCATTTGCTGTAATTGCTGGTTTGAATGTCTCGACACCAGGCGCCTTTTCAGATCCTGCAATTTACCCATTAGAGTTAAAAATTGCTTTGCAATTGCAGGCAATTACTTCCCATCAGCAGCAGTAACCAATAATATACACTTGGAAAAAGAAATCCGAACAGTCCTTAATTTCACTCGTTGTCATTGACTTCCTGCAGCCATTTTTAATGAGAACTTAACAGCATCATTTGCATTCATCTAATGGATTTTGTATTGTGTCGTTGCAGTGATAAAATATTGATGTGTGTGCCTTTAAGTGGCGAGCCGGGAAGGGCAGACACCTCGGGACGAGTGTGTGGGAGAAAAGGGACAGACACTAAACAAACAACAAATGACATTTGCTTTGGAAAGACAATGGAAAAATGGTCGGCTTGACGTTTCACATGACAACAGAGAGCAACAGTACAACCCCCCATGGTTTTATATCATTACTGGTACAATGACTGGTCATATATTTTAGTGTTATGATGGGTTGTTATAGGTTTGAGTGGAGATTACTGGAAAAATGTGCTCATTTAAATCATATAAACTTGTAAATAGTTGTCAGCTCAAGAAAAACACATAAAAAAATTAACTTGCAAACTTGTTTTTTCTGCATTTATGTATTAAAGTCCCCATAGAAATGTTTGTGTCCCGCACAATTCATTTGTCTCATTTTCTCGACATAATCAAGATTATTCTGTAATATATCAAATAAAACATGCCACAGAAACCTCAACAGTATATTATTGACTGTAAGACACAAGTATTCTGCATCATTTAAGCCTGACATTTTGTTTTAAACATCATATTCTGGACCTCCTGGGCTCTAGATTGACACAACATCAATAATACAGCTGGATTATCTTTCTGTCAGACTAAAGAAAGCAAAGTGAAGGCTGTGGAGAGGATACAGATGAAAAGGATAAGATCATGTCATGATCTTTCTTTCATCATATCAGCCTCCTTTGTTATCTGCTGCCTCTCCCTCCCCTGTGCTCCTCCTCGCTCTGTCACTGCTGCATGGTGACTCAGACACTGCAGAGACGCCACAACTGAATGATATATCGGATGAGTCACACACCAGTCGGACACTGTCCATCTCTGAAAAGTTTTTTTTCTCCTGCACGTACGATTATACACACACACACACACGCACAGAGAGAGAGGCAGGAGACTGTAACTCAAACTTCAGCAGATTTGGCTTTGACTCTGCAGACAGTGATCTGCCACGATCGATGTATCAAACACTTCTTTTCAGACTTCACTCTGCACTTACGCTCCGGACTAAACAAACCAGCCGATTCTAATGGTGTTCCCTTCACACCGCCCTGGCCACTGATACACAGGAAATGTGAATACACAGTAAACCTGTCAATCCACTGCTCCACAGAGGGCGAAGATTTCTGTTCATCCCCTCTGCCGCTCTGTCCGTCTCTCTGCCGTCTGCTCAGACCGAGAGTCTGCTCCTCGACTTGAAGGTTTATCACACCCTGCTCTGCCCTAATGCACCTGCACCCACACCCAACCCACACACACACACACACACACAGACTTTTGTGCAGCTATCCTTATTAGTACTTGCACTGACTTCCATTCATTGTGGACAGGCTTAACAAAATCTTTTCATGCTTTGACTTAAACCGTTGTCAAATGAACTTTTTACCTACACTAGTAATCACTTGTCAGTATCCACTGTGTGTCATCAGTTATTGTCATTCACTGGTTCATTATTCCCATTCACTGCCTTACTTGCTGTATATCAGTCATTTGTCTTATCAGTCACTATGTATGATAAAGACTTATAGGGCTCAATCATGTCATTTTCTTGTCTTACCCATCAAACCCCTGTTAAACAGGATGACTGTCCATAAACACTCTGTAGAGTCTGTGCTCAAAATGGTGGTCACAAAGATGTAAGTATATACACACACATACACACACAAACACACACA